ATATTCAAATGAAGCCCACACGCCCTTTGATCCATCAACTCATATTTTACATGATTTATTTTGAATTAATTTGAATAAAAATCAAAATAAATAAAATAAAAAATCACAGTAATGTATAAATGGATTTAGAGGTTCTCTAACATGTTATAAACATGTTTAAACCTTAAAAGTTAGGCCCATTAGTCCAAAAGTTCAAGATTGCTCAAATGAAGTTTCATGCATTTTCTCAAAAATTTCCAAACTTGCACCAATCATAACTCTCTCAAATTTTATCATTTTAAGGTGATCTTGGACTTTTTGGAAATCTCAAGATGTCCTCTACAATCTCTATGTTGATCATTGTTTCATTTGAAGAATTTATCTTGATGTAAGTTGCCTTGACAAAAAGTGTATTTTTGTTGACTTTTGAAATGACCTGTAATATATTGGCTCATATCTCTCAAATGATGCACTTTTGAATTTGAGCTTAGAGAGACAAAGTTATAGATAATTGAATTTCCTTAAAAATAAGGTTTGAATGGGGAAAAACTGATGAAGCATGTGAAAGTTATGCTTGGTCAAAGTTCAGCTGACTTCTTCTAAGGAAACCCTAATTTGACAACTTTTGACTTTTGATGATTTGAGGGATTTTCTTGAGGAATCATGATCAACCCTTGATCAAATGATGGATATCACTTCAAAATGTTAATTTGGCCAAAAATCTTGAAGTTTGACTGCATGTTGACCATAATTGATTTTTTACCCTATACAGTTGATTTTCCATCATCTGAGCAATTGATTGAGCAAACTTGTGGTGCAAGGCTTGAAACTTGACATGAGCATTCTTAGGGACATATGAAGAGTCATGAGAACTATTTGAGGCATTAGAAGTAAAATTTCCTTTGAGAAAAGCAAAACCCTAGTTGTAGGCTAATTGCTTAGGAGAAGACTTGTCTGATCAATTCCTTGAGTAATCTTGAGCAATTGAGAACCCTAGGAAGATGAGGAGACCTCTTGAAATAATTTTATTTGAAAATGAGAGGAAAATTTTTGGGGTACAACAGCATGATACAACTCGATTTGCAAAGGGCATATGATATAGTGGACTGGTATGCTCTGGAGACTATTTTAAAAGAACTTGACATGCCTGGTAGATTTACTTATTGGATTATGAGTGTGGTAACTACTGTCACTTATACTTTCAATGTAAATGGTGAGATTTATGATGTGATACAGGCTAAGAGAGGTAATGAGGAAATGGGATCCAATCTACTCCTAGCTTTTTATGGTAATGATGGAATATTTGAACAGGCTTCTGGTTAAAATGCAGTTGGATCCTAATTCCAATCATCATGCTAAGTTTCAGAAGATGGGAATCACTCATCTCACATTTGCAGATGATGTTCTTATGTTTTGTAGAGGGGATATAATTTCTGTAGAGATGATGCTTAATGTGATCAATAATTTCTCTTTGACTATAGGTTAGGTTGTGAACCCAAGTAAATGCAAAATTTACTTTGGTGGAATGGACAAAGACACTAAAATTAAGATTCTAGAGTTGAATAGCTATGTGGAAGGACAACTTCCTGTCAAATACCTTGGGGTGCCCCCTAACAAATTTTTTTTTTAACATCAATCATTACCTCCCTCTCATTGACAGGATAATGGCCAGAATTAGACATTGGACTTCAAAGCTCCTTAGCACCATTGGTAGGGTCCAACTGGTAAAAAGCACTGTTACTGCTATTGTGCAGTATTGGATACATTGTCTGCCTATCCCCAAAGGTGTCATCAAGAAAATTGATAGTATGCGTAAGAGATTCATATGAATTGGAAGGGCTGGAGCTATAGTAGGAAAAGTTTTGTGGCTTGGCATACTGTGTGAAAACCTAAAAGACAAGAAGCTTAAACATTTTCAATTTGGTAGTTTGGAATAAACTTGTTCTGCTAAGTGTTTGTGGAATTTATGCAAAAAAATGATAACTTATGGGTGAAATGGGTTCATATCCTATATGAAAGGCAAATCTGTCATGGAAACTGTGATTAATATGACCAGTTCTTGAATGATGAAGACTGTGATGAGTCAAAGAGAGGCCCTCGGTTGTGTTCAGTCAATCTAGGATAATATGCTCAACAAGAATAGATTTAGCAAGAAACAAATGTATGAGGCCATGATTGATGATCCTGGTAGAGTGTATTGGAGATTTTTGTTCAAGGGGAATAATGCTAGGCCAAGAGCCATTCATACTTGAAATTCAGGTATTCAGATCAAAGATGTCCTAAAAGATGTCGAGACACCTTTTACCGAACTTGCACACAATAATCAATTTGAACGATAAACACAGTGCAGAAAAGTAAAGAACACACATAATTGTCAATCCAGTTCGGTGAATCAACACAACTACTCTGGGGGATACCGAGCTAGAGACCAAGTTAACTTGATAGTATCAGTTCTTAGACCCACAACAAACTTTCACCTAGTTTACAATCTACTCACTTAATCACTACTTGTTCTTAACTTCTACCTAAGACTCACCTAGGTATCAGACCCTTCTAAAATCCCCTTCAACCATAGTCACAATGATCAACCAATTCTAAACACGTAGAACAAACACAGAAGTCATACTTCAAAGACACACAATCATTCACTGCTTCAAAGCTTTGGAATGATTCATCGAACTTACAATTCAATGAAAACAATCTTACTCTTATATCAACATGATAATCGAGAGGCTCACAATAAGCATACAAACCCTAATCAAAATAAACAGTAAGTTCCACACTAAAACTAGGTTAGTGACATTCTATTTAAATCCATCCTCTGGATTGGATTGGGCTTTTTAATCGCAGCAAATCAGCTGCTAAAACTCAGTAGAATCTTCTGCACACATTAGGGCTTCAATCATTAGTTTTCTAAATTGTCTCCTAATTTAGAAACAAGTAATATTCCTTGTATTCATCTAGAATCTTTATCAATCTTCAACTTGCATGTCACATGAGATAGCATAAGATCTCCAGAATATTCTGCACCTGTAACAACTAAAATATCTAACAATCCAGCTGTATAAAAACACGATGTCATATACTTTTGGTTGGGACATTTTATTTGATATGTTGCTTTAGTTGATATAACATCTTCATTCAACATGTTTCTACTAAGTTCGTTTTACCAAACATAATGCAAATCACAGAAACAGAGAAACAACAATACTACTTGGCTTGTTTGCCATGGGAAGTTAGGAACTAATGATAAATTGATTCGATTTGGCATGATAAATTATAGAATCTACATTTTGTGTAATGACATTGATGAGACAATTGATCACCTGTTATTTGAGTGTAGGATATCCAAGAAAATTTGACAGACAATCTTAAACTGGATTGGTGTTCAGCACAAGTCCAAGGGGTGGAATATAGAATTTGACTAGCTGGTGGGAAACATTGCTAAGAAGGGTTGGAAAGCAAACCTTTTGAAGCTTTCCATCACTAAAATTGTATATGGAGTGTGGCATTATAGGAATCATGTGATTTTTGGAAAGAACAACCAGAGTTATACTCTTAATAATACTAGTGAAGAGATTATAGAGAATATAATGTATAGATGGTGGGGGTCAAAGAAGGTTAGAAAACATATAGCTTGTTTGATGTTGTAGTTGTATAGATTGTCTATTGAGTTGGTTGAATCTTTTCTAAACAGTTTTTTTTAATTAATAATATATCCTTGACTAAAAAAAACACTCATATTTAAATAAATATCAACGATAAAATCAATTAATTATGTTAAAGTTCCATTAAAATTAAAATAATTAATTAAAAAAATAAATTAAACTAATATAGTAAGTAACATTTGCAATCATTTATTTATCATATAACAGTAATTTATAAAACTATTGAAAGTATTATTTGATAATTATTATAAATAAATTTTAAATTTTATTTAAGACTAAAAATAAATATATATCATTAACAATTTAAAATTAAATATCTAAATAAAAAATAAATACCAAAAAGACATGAGAATAAAAAAACTACTCTATAGTTATTTAAATTTGTAAAACTAAATTTTAAATGTATCTTTCAATTTAACCATATGTACTTTTAAAAAAAAATAAAATCTACATTTTTTATATAATATTAATTTATATCATTTTCTTAATTATAATTTTGTAAATCACATTAAATTATCAAAATAAATTTATTAATTATTTTTTATCACAATTTTTTTAATGCATATAAAATTTAATAGAAAAAAAAAGATTAATTTGTAATACTTAATATATTTAAAAAAATACATATTTAAGAGCTAAATTTTGAGTAAAATTCAGTCTAAAATAATTTTAATTACATTTTTTTTCTCTTTCTAACAAATATTATTTAATATATTAATTAATATTAAATATTAATCACTTCAACTCATTATTCCACCACTAATTTTTATATACTTCAATTATTCAACCAAGCACAAGAGTATGCGCGCAGATCTTAGTATATATAATTCTAATAAGCAATCAATGTATCTTAAAATATACTTTTGATTTTTTTAATATATTTTCAAAAAAATTAAAAAACACGTTCTTATATCAAGGACCTGAATTAGTAGTTGTGTTTATTTTCTTTTTCTAGAAACATGTTTCCATTGGAACATAATTATGTTTATTCTCTTTTGACGGAAACACTAACATATTATATTTATGTTTGAGTTAAAATCTTTTTCTTTATGCATGAACATAAACGGTTTACTTTACTGGAGAGGTACAATCAAACACTATTCTCTATGAAAAACGATATTTAGAAATTTAAAAAGTATATACGCCGTGCAGTTGAACAAGCCATGTAACGTAATTGCATACGTTACAAAGGTTTGACTATGATTTTCCACCCCCTTATAGTATAAATATAGATACACCTAACAAACTCTCTTCAAATTCAATTCCACATTCTTCCTTAACAATTGTAATAAGTTTTCAATAATGGGTTCTGCAAGTACTGTTGATCCAATTCCTCTTCTTACACCTTACAAGATGGGCAATTTCAATCTCTCTCACAGGTTGGTTGGTAACTAGTACATTACAATTTCAATATGTTTTGCTCCATCTAATTAGACTTTGTTCCAATTGCTTCATTGTTTTTAGAGTTGTTATGGCACCACTCACTAGGATGAGATCATACAACAATGTTCCTCAACCTCATGCTGTCCTCTACTACTCTCAGAGAGCAACTAAAGGTGGTCTTCTCATATCAGAAGCTACCGGTGTCTCTGACACGGCTCAAGGGTTACCACATACACCGGGTCTTTGGACAAAAGAACAAGTGGAGGCATGGAAACCAATTGTAGATGCTGTCCATGCTAAAGGCGGTGTCTTTTTCTGTCAGCTTTGGCATGTTGGAAGGGCTTCAAATTCAAGTGTGTATCTATAAATTTTGCTTACATCATTATGCTTCAGTTCACCCATTTTTTCTTTGCATAAATATAGGCCATGCTTGTTGTTGATGTTCCTTTCTTGTTAATCTAACAGGTGTTCAGCCGAATGGACAAGCCCCAATATCTTCTACAGATAAGTTACTCACAAACACTGCTTTTCAAAAATTCACACCTCCGAGACCATTAAGGACAGACGAAATTCCTAATATTGTGAATGACTTCAAACTTGCTGCAAGAAATGCTATTGAAGCTGGTAACTTAACTTATCTTTCCAAATTTGAATAACGTTTCGATGGATCATATAGGACTATTTCTTTCTTTTGAGGGGACTTGGACATTTTGCAAATCAACTAACATGCTCAATGTATCTGATGCAACATTACAGGTTTTGATGGGATTGAAATCCACGGAGCTCATGGCTATTTATTCGAACAATTCATGAAAGATTCCGTGAATGATAGAACAGATGAATATGGTGGATCCCTTGAAAACCGTTGTCGGTTTACATTGGAAGTTGTTGAAGCTGTTGCAAATGAGATAGGAGGAGAAAGAGTTGGAATAAGATTATCACCATTTACTGAATATTTAGAAAGTGGAGACTCCAATCCCAATGCATTGGGACTTTATATGGCTAATGCCCTCAACAAATATAATATTCTCTACTGTCACATGGTGGAACCAAGACTAAAAGATTCCTTTGAACCAATTGAAAGCCCTCATAGCTTGGTGCCAATGAGAAAGGCTTTCAATGGCACTTTCATGGTTGCAGGAGCTTATGACAGAAAAGATGGGATCAATGCTATTGCTGAAAATAGGGCAGATCTTGTTGTTTATGGTCGTTTGTTCTTAGCTAATCCAGATTTGCCAAAGAGATTTGCACTTGATGCTCCTCTCAACAATTACAATAGACAGACATTCTACATTTCTGATCCAATTGTTGGTTATACGGACTACCCTTTTCTTGAATGATGAAACACATGTTGTCGAATCTAAGAGTTGAACTTCCATATTAAATAAGCTTTTTTCCTCAGCCACATTGGTTTTTGTAGTGAAGTTTGCCACTTACATAAGATATTTGTTGCTTATAGTAGTATTTATTTTTTTATTCTTCTCATGCTTCTCACACATTGTGTAGAACAGAGTGAGTAAAACTGTAATGTACCTCGATACTTTAAAAATAATAAAATAGTAATAGCTATTGTGTGTTTAATTTTGAGTTGATAAAAATTGATTTATAATAAATTTATTTTGATTAAATTGTTAACAATAGAGATATATTAAAGTAGAAAAAGGAGAAAGAGATTAGTGTTACTATTAGAAATATAGATTAGTTAAATATTAGTCGTAATAAGATAGTAGTATATATTGTTATTATGCGAAACTGAAATTGGATATTCACACTTGAGTTTGTTAAAATTGAATTTTGCTCTCTTTCCAACTTTGAATATGAATTTTCCATTACATGTGAGTTTGGCTTCGTTGCTTATTGGATTTTTGATGCCCTGGTCTATTGAAGCCACTGATTTCTTCTGTCCTTTGCCATGAATATTTTGATATGGTTCCTCAGTTTGAAGATTTGTAGCAATTAATATCAAATAATTAGTTGTTTATATTATTCCTTGTGTGGAGTTTTGAGATTTATTTCACAAGCGGTTCGATTTCATTCAAGTTTTGCAGTTTCGCACAGCTAGAAGATGTGATTTCGTTACGGTTCTGATTTTCATCTGTGACTCTACTCACAAACTGTGTTTCTGGGTTCGACTTCATTTTAGAGTTGCATTTCAAGCTGTATTCTTCTTCGGTTATGATACTTTTCGGTTCAGCAGGCTAGGTTTTGGTGAAGTTTTAAAGACAGTTCTACCGAATATCAGTTTTTCTTTGAGATTGGAATCAATCTATCTGTGATTAATCATGTTGCTTGATGCTTTGAAGTTTTGTCTACAAGTTCTGTTGTTATGTGAAGATTGAAAAATATATTTGAATTACTATATTGGTGAATGCATCTTTGTACTGTAATGGTGATTAGCCTTATTGGCTTTATGGTGAGCTTCTGTCTATAATGGTTAAACATGATGCTTCTGTCTATAATGGTTAAACATGATGCTTCTGTCATGGATGGTTAAGCATTTATGTTAGCTTCTCCCCTATGGTGGTTAAGCACTCTTCATACTTTTTTCTCGCTTCTGCCCTATGGTGGTTAAGCATTAATGTCCTTTGTTGGTTTTATTGATTTTAGCTTCTATTAAGTGGTTAAGTCTCAAGTTATGGCTTCTGCTTAATGGTTAAACGTTTTGTCGTATGGCTTTGATTAGTTACTGCATGAGTTCTAATTTTGTTTGGATTTGGCTTTGTGAAGCATTGCTTACACATCAAATATGTTGGAGGGACTTTGGTAGTCCAAGGTTTTACAATTGTTGTTGGCCTTTCTAGTTTACGAGTGGTTTATGGATTTACATACCATTGACACTGCTCTATTTTGAAAAAGTTGTTGATACTATCCGGCTAATCGTTTGAGTTCTCTTTTGACATTTGGATGTTGTGGAGATGCTATAGGAAGCTTGAAGGGACCCAAAAGTTGGAGACTAGTAGAAATTTAGTCTTTTGTCATGACTTTGATGTAGTCATGCATTCTGGAATTTGGTGTTGTATTTTTTACTTTACTTTGATTTTTATTATTCATTTTAAGCTGGAAGTTTTGTGTATATCTTCCAGCTTACGGGAGGGCATTAGAAATATATATTAATTAGATATTAGTCATAGTATATATAGATGTAACCACCTCGTTAGAACTAGAAGGAAACTTTTTACTCATATGTCATATTCTCTTTTCATCAATGCAAAGAATTTTTGAGCTTTTCTCTCCTTCCTTTCATGGATGTCACGTTTCCTAACAGTTACGATAACATAAATAACATGATTTATGAAAAAAAGGGTTACAAAGAGAATATATAATAAAACATAAATTTATCAAACTACCATTAGTCCAACTATAACCAAAGGTACATTACATATTATCTAACATAAATGTGAGTTGATGCAATGCTTTCACTTTCTTTTTCATCGAAAAACAAGTCTCACATTTAATAGCTTGGTTCCTAATATTAGGAGTTTCATATCTTAACGTTTCATTGCTATTCTCTAGAAACTCAACGCAATCTTTAAGATCTAAGTTACTATTTTCAATTTTATCATGTTTCTCGATTAACTTATCATTTAATTTAAATAATTTAATGTAGGAGAGAGTTGTTACCTCACAACCATCTTTTTCATATGAAGCTTTCAAGCAAATGTGTTCTTCGTCTTCATCGGATGAAGGATCTTCAAAGATTCTACTAGAGGTTTATTCTTCAAGAGTTCTACTTAACGTTGAGTCTCTAAAGAAATTGTTTGTTGAGACTTCTTCCTCATTTCTTCTTTTGAATATTCTATTTGATGAAACTTCTTCATCTTCTTCATTGAATGAAGCTAATATTATTGATGAAGTTTCTCCATTATCAGACGAAAAATCTTTTGAGGGACGTTCATCTATCGAGATTGTTCTTTCAAATGAAACTGTCGGAGTTGACTTTTCTTCTTTGACTTTTCTTCTTTGACTTTTCTTCTTCTTATTCTTCTTCTTCTGATGATGATGATGATGACGGCGACGATAATGATCCTTCAAGCTTCGTGGAGTTTATCCCTTCATCTTTCAATAGTTGAAGCAACTCGATGAGTTTCTTGACGAATTCCTCCTTCTTAGATTTTTCCTAAACAGTGCAAACATTTATGTCTCTCAATTTAAGGATAGAATCAGATTTTTGAGTTTAATTATTAACTTAGATATTTGTTAGATACAAAGTTTCTAACATGGCTTCCAATATTTCTAATGGTTGAACACCATCTGTCAAGATAACATTCATATAGTGTTATATTTGTAAAAGGCCTCGCCTAGGGCGATGCCCTATGGCAACCCTAGAAGAGGCGACGATTGAAGGTCGCCCAAAGAGAGGTATTGAATCGCCTAATAGTCTTCCCTCACCATCGTGGGCAAGTCCTAACACAATAAATTATTATAAACCTACTAAGAACTCTGAGTTTCTTTGTCCGTGTAGGGGGAACAAGCACACTTGTAGTTTTTGACCAATACAATGGCACCCACCATTTCTACTCTAATTTTCTCCATCTGCGTCTGAAGATTGCCTACAAAACCACAAACTACAATGCAAACACCATCATCGAAGGCTTCATCGGTGGAGGTAACTCTAGATCAACTAGGAGGAAGTACGTAAGACATGTATGTGCAACAAACGTAATATCCCCTTGATTCCCCAGATGCTCTCAAGGGAAAATAGGGATTAATATCATTTTCTCTGAGGAGGCACCTTTGGAGTCAACCCTCACAATGATGATCATCTAGTCATCATTATGCAATAGGGGAGATAAACCTATACCTATTTATTTTACATTATTTTCATGATTAAGTGTCAATTTTTAGAAAAAAATTTATTTTTTTTGAAAAAGTACTACTAGAGAAAAGTTTGTCCGCAGATGGTTCAGATAATGAATAGTTAAAATGTGTGGAATTACCAATGATAGGTTGTACAAAAAAGATCAAAGAATATATGGCATGAGAAAACGATTTTGTTCTCTTTGAATGCTTCACTCATGATTAATGCCTAACTATTTGTGAAAAATGGCATGATTATGAATTTTTTTGCTTTATTCAAAGTTTGATTTCTTTTACTGTCTAGAGAAAACATGTTTTACGTAAATACTGAGAATAGACATGCATAATAATTATATAGTTGTTTCATCAGTCTTGTTAATTACTTGATGTATTTGAAATTCATGGATATAATCAAGGCATTATTTTTATTAAATAAAAAATTACTTGGTAAAAAAAGCCTACATTTTGAGGGTGAGAATCCTTTGACAAACTCCTTTGAGAGGTACAATTAAAAATTATTTTTTTCTTTCAAAATTGTAACTCTTAGCCAAATTTGAAAAGAATAATAATGTTCACTACCTTATTTTAAAGATAGGAGAGCAAGCAAAATAAAGGGTATTGAAAAAATGAAAGTTGAGGAGTAAAAGCAAAGGGAAAGTTTTCAAAGAAAAACTCAAGTAGTGTAGGTGCAATGAAAAGAAAGAAAAATGCTTTGACAAAAACCAGAGTTAAAAATAAAAAGTCAATCATACAAAAAGGAAAAGACGCCAAAAGAAAGTGGTTGTAGGAAAGTGGAAGCAAAGAAAGAGAAATACGTGAAAAGAAATAAATTATGTTCTCTTATCTTTAGGCTTTTGAATCCAAAATAAAAAACCAATATTTTTTAAGCCCGACCACGTTACAACCTAGATAAATACCTTAGGGATCCATGACAAATGATAAATCTTTTGAGAATGTTTAGACAAAATACAAAGTATTACTATATTATATGCATTGTCTTGTTTTTTAGGGAAACATTAATCATCTGTATGATATGGCTCATGGATAGTCATGATATTGATTATGAACTTGCATTTGAAAAGAATACCATGCCACAAAAAAATTTCAAAAATGCTGACCCAAAGTCTGTCAACTCTCTCACTACTACAAATATTATATTTTATGACAATATTTTCACCTCACATAATAAAACACTAAGGTATAATACCATAACACGTCATGATTTTTTTTTTCTTTTTAAAATGAACAAACTATTCCCTTGATTTTCTAGAAAAACCCATGGGTGAACTAATTCAGGTTATCCTAATAACTTTAGTTTATGCTTCGATTCATTTTACCCATAGATTTTTCTTTAAAATCGAAGGGTAAGCTAATTCAGGGTACAAACTTCGAATCTCAATAACTTCAATGTATGTTTTTAATCCAAAAATAATCCATATTTCATATCACTATTCATGTTACATTAACGTTGTTATTGTTGTTGTTTTTTTCGTGTGTTTGTTTGTTATTGTTGTTTGTTGTTGTTGTTGTTTGTTGATGTTGTTGAGACCCTAAAACTTAGAGATTTAATCTTGTTGTTGTTTAAACTGAGTTTGTTGCTATATGCTTTTTTTGGTGATAAATACGTTATAGGTTTATTGAGATTGATGTTATATGCTTATTGTCGATGTTGTTGTATTTTTATTGAGAGATTGTTTTTTTTTTTAGTTGTTGGTTAATGTTAGTTGTTGTTTAGATTGAGATAATGTTAACATTGTTGTTATTTATTGTTGTTTTTTATTTATTGATGTTATTGTTATTGTTGTCTAGTTGATATACTTAGCAAAGTTTTGAAATCTATATGTTTTAGGGTTTAATTAATGTTATTGAGTTTGAGTTTAAGACTATGATTATGTCTTTTGCGATTCTTTGTGCATCTCTCATCTTGTTCCTATGAACATGTCAAGAGCATATTATAGTGACAAAAAGTATAATTGAGTTTATTATATATAATGTCGATTGTTTGTTTCACTAACCCCTCTTTGATCATATAATCTATTAAATTATTTTTTGCAAATAATAATATGAAAAATTATGTTATATTTGAAAAACATCTTAGACTAATCAATGTTTTTCAAGCATTATGCAACTCTTCATTCATCTCACGTTCTTTAATGGTTAAAATATCTCCAATACTTCTATTTTTTGTTCAACTTTCTTCCACACATATTGAATAAACAAGTATAGAAGAAAGTTGAACGAAAACTAGAAGTATTTAAGAGATTTTAACTATTAAAGAATAGGAGATGAATTATGAGTTACAAGATGTTCGGAAAACATTAATTAGTGCAATTTGTTGTTCAAATATAATAGTTCATATAACTATTTTGTAAACCAATTCGAAAATTCATATGTTCAGCTAGGACTAAATGATACGCCTGAACCACGCTAAGCGGTTTTGCACGCTTAGCGAGATCGAAAAACCAACTCTCTGCCAAATTTCTCAAAACTGACGTAGAACGCTGCACAATGCGTTAAACGGGCTCCAATGAATTTTTATTCCTGAAAATACGCATTTGGAGTTGTTCCTTTGACACTTTATTGCTCAATGCTCCAAACATGCACCAATAGCTCCAAAATGAATGAAAAACTATCAAAAGGTACATAAATGACTCAAAAACACAATAATATGCAAAGTATACATATTTACATAAAAGTTGAGATTTATTCAAAGAATATCAACAAAAGAATCGATAAGTACCACCAAAATTATATACAAAATAACGATATTTTGACACTTATCAACTCTCTCTAACTTAAACTTGTTTGTCCTCAAACAAGGCCAAATAAACTTAAAGAACAAAAGTAACCAACCAAAGAATCATGAATCAACAAGTTTCGAAAAACAAAAATAAATGTATTGTTCAACAAAAACATACATGCAAGACTTACCACTAAACTACAACGACAACATGAAAACGAAATGAATCCTAAGTACAAAAATCATACTAAACATTCTAAAACAAACCATGCTCAATCATGAATCACACCTAGCAAAAATTCATCAAGGGATGAAAAATACACAAAAGTGAGGGACTTTGATACTCATCCAACAATCTTACAAACAAAAGACTAAATTATACATTCATCCAAAAACTCATATTGAAAACACAAAAGCGAGAATCACAAGGGCATTTCAAAGTTGTAATGTGTCTTGGTTAACAAACAAGGGACAATTTCCAAAGTTAATTGAAACAAAAAATTTCCTAAACCTAATGGAGTGATCAACTCACAAAATTTCAAACACAAAATTCCAATCAAACTTCTTCTCTTATCCTGATTGCTACACCAAAACACATAACTTATAACACAACATTATTTTATACTCTTATTATTTTTATTTTTCAAAACTTTTCTCTTTTTTATTTTCTTTTCTTTTTCACATTTTTTCTTTATTTTTCTTTTCCAAACCTCATAGCACCCAACAAATAAATGAGCAATCATTTCTCTTTCCAACGTGAATTCAACCAACATCAAAGTGTGAATACTTTCTACTTTCTAAGGCAAGGTAAAAATTCAAACAACAACACAAGGTTGAGGGTTCAAGAAACAAAAAGAATCAAAATCCATTCAAAAAATGTGAACTAAACACTAATAGACAAACATCAAGTTAAAATGAAACATGGATATTGACAAAAGCTCAAAGGAGATTAACAAATACGCATGCACTCAAAGGGTGAATTGTGTAACGCCCGTTAATTTAATTAATTATTTAATTAAATTAATTACAGATTAATGGTTGAATATGCTATTGAAATTATTGAAGTTGTGAAATATTGTGAAATGTTGATTTAAGTTGCTAAGTTGTTATTTAGTTGATATTTAATTGATTGGTCAATTAATATTAGTAATAATATTAATATAGATATTAGAATGATATAAGGTTTATTAGTTGGGCTCATTATTTGGTTGTATGGAGTAATAGGTGGAGTGTGAATGTTAGGCGTAATAAGAATATTAATAATTATAAGGTTAAGCTAATTATAAGGAGAATTAGGTTAATTGAACAAGTCTTAGAGAATTTTGTGGGAACGTGAGAAGCTGCAAAGTTACAGAGAAGAGACAAAGGTTGGAAGCTACGGCGAGAGACTTTAACCGATAGAATAGAGAGATCTCCAATCTAAGGTA